GTTTTTGATTCGAAATATCAAAACTACTATATATGTGCCACAGCGAGTTTTATATATTTACTAGGTATGTATGTTTTTAAAGGGATGCCAAATGCTGTCATTTTTCTGTAAAGCAAATTTACCTTGCCTTTGGGTATAAATAAAGTTACCTTGACCTTGACCTTGACCTGCAAGCCAATTTTTAACCTCTCGCATTCACTCACGAAAACCGTGCAAAGACATAGCAGAATCATCAGTTAATTCAAAGTAGATCTGTATGTCGTCAGCATAACAATGATGTGCAGTGATGTACTTCTCAAAGATTGCGCCTAAGGGGAGCATATACAGTGAGAAGAGCAGGGGGCCAAGGACAGATCCTTGAGGCACACCGCAGGAGACAGGTGCAGCAGAGGAGAAACACGGGCCGAAATTGATCGAGAAAGACCTATTAGAAAGATATGACTTAAACCAATCTGTAGGTGTGCTGTTTTTGCAAATGCTCGTATGGGTTGTATTTGAGTGTAGGAACAAATCCTCAGTTGGACTGGACGAATTGTTAAATTCAAAATTCCTGAAATGAGTTTTTCTTCTAGAGCACCAAAGAATAACAGACAAAAGATTGCATTATTGAGGGAAGTACATGTCAGGTTTTATTGTCTCAATGATTATACATGCAATGAAAGAGAAAAGTCTTAGCAACTACAGAAAGAACAACAGGTTTTATGATTAAACAAACATCAGTCAAGTACAACTTTTATGCAGAGCATTTGATAACTTTTTCAGCCAGAAGAGGCTGCAGAAATATTTCTCAGTGTTATTGCAACTTCATCCACAGAGGAAAGATTTTCTTCGCTGAAATATGTGTGGGAAGCAGATTTGTTATCAAACACCATCACAATGTAGGAAACCTTTGGAAATGTATTCAAAATTGTCAACTGCTCCCAGAAACTGTCTTATGCTTCTAGTGTCCTTGCTTAACTAGAAAAAAACAACAAATGTGAAGCTAACAAGATCCTACCTGTCTTGGTCTCGTCAGTATTCAACATTCAGTTGCTTGGCAACCTTTATTAAATAATAAAGCCAAATTCTGTATATTTGTTCTGTATTTGTGGTAGAAGATTTATGCAAGATTGATTTCCCTGAGAAAACACATAGAAGCAGAAAACAGACTCAGTCAGCATTTATTAGCTTTTATTGAAATGACCACATACAGCACTGGTACTTCACTGGTCTAAGTCTTTATTCTGCTCTTCAATTATTGACACATTGGTGTACTCGTGTTTATCTAGTCTTGTACAAAAAAGCGTTACTGGCAAGTCGGCAAATGTACCACACCATGTTCACACTTCTGACGCATTCCCAGTGTCCCAACGGGTCTTCCTCTGGTACACATAAACTCGATTTCATCATCATGTTCTGAATACAGTTTATCATCTCTTGAATATCTGAACCAAATATTATGTCTGTTCATGTCGTCTCTATTCACAGTGCAGGGTTCTGTAAGACATAAAAGATAAACAGTCTTTTAATGTTAGTAAAATACATGAATGTACAGAATATTGTGTTCTGTAAAGGACTCTGTGGCTACAAATAAAATTGATTTTCTTCTGCCTAATTCTAAATTGTGGTCAAACACTGGAATGGTACACAGATGATCTACTGTTGCTGTTGCTCTTGTGGGGTGATTACATTCACTGTTAATTTTATGTAATATTTCTGTGACTATTTTACATGCTGAAGTCCTGTCCATCCCAGCCTGACTCCTCTCAGCCTCACTACAGTACTAGACACTTTAATACCCACCTGCACA